CTGAGCCTGGATTCCTTCTTTTTTGGGAAGCTGTCTTTGCTTTTAAGGCCTTTGACTGATTGGATGAGGCCCACCCTTATTAGGGAGAAAATTCTGCTTAATCACATCTAAAAAATACCTACCTTCACAGGACATCTCGGCTAGCGTTTCACCAAACTCCTGGGCACCGTAGCCTAGCCAAGTTGACGTATAAAATTAAACATCTCAGCATCTTGTTCCCTGTTAGGCTCTGTTTCCTGACATCTTTTCCTCAGTCAACTTTACTCAGTTTCACCTTACTCCACCAAATAAAATGCAATATAACTTCAGCCTCTTCAGGGTCTCCGTTTGCTATAGATGAGAGGTCTTTGAACTAATTTGGATTTCATAGAGCTCTCTGGATAACACAGCCATGCAGACCAAATCTCCAGCAGCCTTGTGTGTCAGAGGCTTTCCTGCCTGGTAGGTTTGGGGTGAAAGAAATTGAATGACAGGAGTGGATTAGTGAGATAGGTTGATCCCAAAATATTAATACAGATTTGTCACTGAATCGATATTATTATGGATGGTGGCTCATTATTGTGATAAGTAAATTTTCATGAAGTCTTTGAGGCAGTCCTTTGGCCAGACACATATGTCAAGCCTGATAGAGGGTGGGTTGAGGTGGACCTGGACCATTCTTTCATCCTGCGTTTGAAATCTTAGTGGTCATCTCCATGGGTTTGTTTAGAGCAGAATTGAGATATTTGACACCATAATTCAAGCTCTGGAAATGCCATGTGTCCAAATGACTGCGGGAGGCTGCATCCAGTGAGCCCTAACAAATGAGGGTCACCACTGTGACACTTTGTGAGCCCTGCATGCTGATCTAGGGCCATGATAATCGTAAAACTTCCTTGTAGGGTTCACGCCTGTTTAAAAAGCAGCATATACGCATTTCCATGTTAGATTCTCCTTTCACATGACACTATGGACGAAATATTGTTGTTCTACAGATAGGAAACCGGGGATTCAGAATTCAGATTGCACTTGCTGAAGGACGGATAATAAATAGTGGGGTAAGAACTAGATCACAGCTTTTTTTCACTTCCTCATTTAGTCTGTTAAACATTCATAATTGCTGTTCTGGGAAATGAAAATCCTTATGTTTCTACAGTAAATTACGGACTGGCAGCACTGAACCGCTTGTTTTAGAGGCAGGGGTTCTGACACAGAAAAAACCCACCTATTGTGGCGTTTACTTTGAAGGCCTTGTGAGTTGCCAGAGAAAAAGTAAAATTTACATGAATTTCATTGATTTAAAATGCAACAGAAAAAAACTAGAAGAAGAAAGAAATGGTGTTTTTCGGTTATGATAATAAAGGAAGTAATTTTCTTTTGTGCCTGGTAATTACATGGAAAACATAACTGCAACTCAAATATAACTGAATCTTTGAAGAAATGGAGGACGGGGGAAGAGAGTCATTTGTGGATTCTGAGGATCAGCTTGATCTTTCCTTCTTCTACAGAGATCAAAAGATTTATCGTTACTTGGGAAGGAAAAGCAGGATTCAATTATGATTGAGAGAAAGCCAGGAGCAGGAGAGCTGCCTTTTCCATACTTCCTAATCGGATTATCCTGTCTCCAAATAGACACTCTTTTAATTGATTCTTCGAAATCTTAATTCTAATAATTAAGCCATTTAGACATCGGAAGGATGTTAACAGAGTCCAGTAAGAGCAACAGCACTCAAAATCATTACAAACGACTGGAGTGGCAAAGTGATGAAGGAATAGGAGGAGAAAAGAAGAAGCAGTTTTTTCCTGGCCCTTTGAAGTTAATCTGCAGGGCCTCAAACGAGTTACTTTCTCTCTCACAGGCCAAATAATAGGTCTTTGAAGTCTCAGAACTTGTTTCTCTTTATCTATGTACATCCATCCTTTGTTTTAGGTGCAAAATCAAATTATTCCATCTTGGTTTCCCATGCTGTCGTCATCAGCACCCTGAGCCCCTAGCCCTGCCCACTCGGGGGATCTGCTGACTGTTGAATTCAGCAGCGAGTTCCCACTTCCAGAGAATCTATACGGGTTCATAATTTAGTGCAGTTTAAGATGGTGGCTCACTATTTTTTTTTTATTGAGTTAATGATGGGTTACAATCTTGTGAAATTTCAGTTGTACATTAATGTTTGTCATTCGTGTTGTAGGTGCACCACTTCACCCTTTGTGCCCACCCCCCACCCCACCTTTCCCCTGGTATCCACTAAACTGTTCTTAGTCCATAATTTTAAATTCCTCATATGCGTGGAGTCATACACGGATTATCCTTCTCTAGCTGGCTTATTTCACTTAACATAATTCCCTCAAGGTCCATCCATGTTATTGCAAATGGAATGATTTTGTTCTGTTTTGCAGCTGAGTAGTATTCCATTGTATATATGTACCACATCTTCTTTATCCATTCATCTGTGCCTCACTATTTTTTATACTGAAGGTTTTTTGAAATTTTTTCAAAAAATATTTGTCTTAAGAAACTACCTAGTGAAATTAATCCATGTAGGAATATAATATGGATAATTCAAACAAAATTTTTCCCCAAAAATATATTTAGGGGCTTGAATTATGTGGAAAATATTCTTAACTTTCTTGAAATTAAACTCATCAAGCATAATAAAATAAGTTATGGAGATTTTTAAAAAAAGGCACAAATATGACAAAAGTCAGTGTTACAGCCCCAACTGCATTTAATTTGCACGACATGAACAATTAAATGTGCTCTGTTGCTAATAGAAGATCATGTGTTCTATAGAAAGTAGCTTAAGAAGGCAGATCTTAGAGCAGCACAGAAATTTGAAATTGGGGCCATGTATTAAATTATGTTTTGAACTGTGATTGTTACTCATTCTCTGTTTTTCGCCCTTTGCTTACCTCAGTTGACAAGTGCATTCTCAATCACTGTCATCTTTTTCTGCCTATTAAATACCAACCATATAGGGGTGAGAGTCAGGAAGGAAATGAGCATTCCTTGAATACCAGTCACTGTCCTTCATATTTTCTCGTTTTCTTTACTTCAGAGCTTCTATCACTGCCTGAAATGACCTTCGTCTTTTGTTGAGTTCTTCATGGCTGGTTTTCCCTCTAGAATTTAGTTCCATGATAGTGGAGCTTTCCTCTGTCATGTGCTCTTCTAGATCCCAAGCAACAAGGCACGTGCCTGGCCCATAGTAGGTGTTCATGATTTTTGCGGGGGGGGGGGGGGGGGTTGGTTAGGAAGACTGCCCCTGAGCCAATCTTCCTCTATTTTATGTGGGATGCTGCCACAGTGTGGGTTGATGAGCGGTGCTAGGTCCGGTCCCAGGATCCGAAACTGCAAACCCTGGGCCACTAAAGCGGAGCATACAAACTTAACAACTATGCCATCAGGTCAGCCCCAAGCCCTGAATTTATTTAAAGAAAATACTAATTAGATAACAGGACAGATGACATATTAGGCAAAAATTGTGGAAGTGGTACACAATGTCTGGTGTTTTTTTTGTTTTTTGTTTTTTTTTTGCTGAGGAAGACTGGACCCGAGCTAACATCTGTGCCCATCTTCCTCTATTCTATATGTGGGTTGCCTACCACAGTATGGCTTGTCAAGCAGTACCATGTCTGCACCCAGGATCTGAACTGGTGAACCCCGAGCCGCCGAATCAGAAAGTGAGCACCTAACCACTGCACCACCAGGCCAGCCCCCACAATGCCTAGTTTTGAAAACCTTGCTGTGAAGGAATTTGCAAGGCTCTGCAATAGAAACAAGCAGTAGATGGCGTTGCCGTGACAGGGAACTCAGACATGGAAAATGATTATTCCCAGACTGCCTTAAAAATGGTGTACTTGAGGTAAAGAAATAAAAGACTGCTAACTCTTGGCATAACCGGGAAAATGCCACTGTGATACAAACGCTAGGACTATGATTAAGTTTTAGTCCCTGACTAATGGTGCCTAAAATATAGTGGGGAGATATACAAATAATCAGAATACAGGTTAGGAAACAAAAAATGCCCAAAGAAGGGAAAATACATGTAATGTGGGAATTCATAGTCCTACAAAGTATTAATTATTTCTAGTTACATTAAAAACTTTAATTATAATTAATAATTATATTAATTACACATTTGTACTCTGTGTAATTATACAAATGAGTAATGGGTATACAAGGAGATGGGTAGACAAACCGGAAATATTCACACCTGCAAAAGTGCAGGGCACCCTTTTCTATTACTGCAAGAAAAGCCTCGAGGGGTTTGGCAAACATGACCTGCTAGGTTGCCAGCCATTTAAAAATAGTCAAGTTCAGAACCCCGGGAAAGCAGACGCATCTTTAATAGGGCAAAGAGATAGCGCTTCGCTGAGGTCTGGTGCTGCCTGAGAAGCTGACATCACCCAGTCTACTTTAGGGTAAACTTTTAACAATGAAGGGACTGGTTTTCCTCTTAAATTCTTTATGCTGACATCTGTTTATAGGGAGCACCAGTGTAATTCACATGGTCCAAAGCCTCATGCTTTCTGTGGGCCCACTCATCAGCCCCTCGCTGCCTTCCACAGCCAGCTTTCAAAGGCAACTACGGCTTTCTTACAAGGAGAGGCTTCTGGTGTTGTCACGAGAACACGGACCCAACAGCGCAGGCTCTGCATTCAAATTCTGACTCGCCCGTTTATTTGAGCAAGTTGCTTCATTTCGCTAAGCCTCAATTTCTTCAAACTGGAGAAAAGAACAGTGCTTATCTCATTAGGCTATTTTGAAGATTAAGTGAAATAAAGCAAGAGAGTGTTCAGTGAGGTATCCAGCACACCACAAGCCCTCAGTTATCATTAGCTATGATTAGTCTGTGTCTGTGTTAGGAAGCGCAGCGTTCTCTCCTCCGGGCTTTTCCAGTGACCTCAGGTAACGTGATTTTCTTAAGCTGACTCTTGTGGGCTGGTACCTACTCTAGTCTTCAGGCCAGCTCCACACACGTGACTTTGAGCTGTTTCTCAGCTTCTACAAGTTCTCCCTCTCTCTCTCTCTCTCTCTCTCTCTCTCTCTCTCAGCCAGCCTGTAAAGCCGGAAGCACACAGCTCCCTCTGTGACTCAGATCTCCTTCCCTCTGCTCATACCACCAGAGAGAAAGGCTGTGTTGAAGCTCAAACAGGGACTTCTTGATTTCTCCAAACTGAGAGGTGACTTTTCACCATATTCTTGGTAGAGTAAGTCTGGAACATTCCTCTTGTTTGCCATTCTTTTCTTTCGCTGGATCTACTGGCTGAGAGTAACATTTAATGCAATGCTTGTCTTAATCTTTTTATAGCCACTGACTGTAGCTCCCTGGAAACTTTTACATTTTGCTTCTGACAAACATCATGTCAGACATTTTCCCAAACAAGATAGAAAGGAAATATTTGAACTCAGTCTGCGCTCTTTTTGCATACCGTCCCCTTTATAGCCGAGGGCTGGGAGAAAGAGGATGTAGGAGTTCAGTGAGACAACAAAGAGTGTAAGACTATTAGACTCCTTCGCCTGTGAATGAAACAAAATGTTTTAATTCTTTGTAACATCTATTTGGAGGAAAAATCATTCTTGAATTTTATAATTTCACCCATGTACATTGATTGAGTGTAGGCCCTTTGCTCTGTTCTGTGCCCTGCCAGGCTGACTGTAGCTCACTGACCAATAGCCAACTGGATTTCCAAGAGCTGACGGGAACTGAGAAACTGCAGAGCTGTCACTCAGGCGTCTGGAGTTACCTGGATTTTTACTCTTCCTGAGCCTTCATTTTTCTAATCTCCTTGCATTCTCAACATATCTGAGCATCCTGATTGTAAATTCCCTCTTTCGGCTTAAGCAAGCCCATGTGAATATCTGTTGCATATAACCTAAAGAATCCTAATTTATGAATTAAATTAAAAAATTTAAAGATATTAAGCTTGTCAGCAATATGTTAGCCTTTTGTATGTCTCTAAGCGTATTAAATACAGAATTAGGAAGACATTACATTTTTTTCACTATGATACCCATGCTGCTTGTTTCAACAGACAACAGGCAGGGTTAACTACTTTCAAAATATCAGGAAAGAAAACATTCTTAATCAGTGAGTTTCTAAAAGTAATGAAGCATATTTAAAAAAAAATCACACACACACAGCATTTTAGATTTCTTCATTTTACTCACTAACATTATCTTCTTATTAAAATTACCGAAGTCTTTTGAATTAAAATAATAGGAGTTTCTTGTGATATTCAAGCAATTAGCAATATATGTTAACTCTAGAATTTCAAGTAACAATATGATGTACCTTTGCAAATAGGTATCATTTCTTCTGGCAACAGGTTTTAAGCAAATTGATGTACTGGGAAGGCACAGTAACTGTTTTCCTCTTTGTAATATGTGTGTTATGAAACTTAGCACTGGTATACCTTCTCAGTTTCTTCTTTGACTAGTACGCATACCTTTAAACGTACCATGCACTTTTCTTATTTCTGCACCTCTTTTATGTTGTTGATACTGTTTAGAATTCTAGCTCCACCTCTCCCTCTAAAGCTAATTTGCAAGGAAAACTCATACTTATCCTGCGGTGCCCTACTTAAATATCACCATCTCCGAGAAGCATTCTCTGTGCACCTTCTGTCCCTTCCTCTTTAAGCAGAATCAATCTTTACTTTCAATTTATTTTTCATCGCGTCCTTTTGTAAATACCTCTCATGCTTTTGTGATCTGCTCTATTAGTCGTTTCAGGTCTGTCACTTGAAGTTACCCATGAATCCCTTTATGGCAAGGATTATGTCTTGTTCATCCTTGTGTCTTTCTAGCACATTGGATGGTTTCCAGCTGATAATTGACGTTCAGTACATGTTCACTGTAAACTAGAAATTTCAGTTCAGAAAATGGTGAGGAAAATTTGAGGTGGTCTTCGGGTAATGATTTTGAGAATTATTAGAATGTTCTTAAATACAGTATTGGGGCCTCTTATGGTTTAGATATATTTTTTCAATTCATGATTTTATTACAATTTTCTAAGAATTTTTCAAAGTAGTTTTAATGCTTTCTGTTCCAAGCAACAGTATATGAGAGCTGCAGTTGCTCCACGCCTTATCAACACTTAGTATCTTCACATGTTTGTGTATTCATGTACACACACACATTGCTTGATTGGTTTGACATTTTTTTGAGCATTTTTGTTTCTAATGTGTATAAGTGAAATTGGCCTAAATTAATTTGTGTTCTTAATTTGGTCATTTCTTCCATTCTACTTTCTTTGCGTACACTCTGTTGCTTTTTTCTTGTTACTTATATTGGATGCTTAGGTTAATACAGTTTTAAAACTTTCTCTATATGTGCATATATGTATGCATGTATATGTACATATATTTACATATTAGAAATCATATATATATCTAGTATATAAATATCTTAATATCATGTTATGAATAGTGTTAATATTATATCTTATATAAATATAATATATCATCTTATATCAACTTTTTATTATATATCATATATATCTAATATATGATATATTAATATGTCATAATTAATATATTAATATTGAGCAAAATATATCTTAAGGTCGAATTTTTTCTGAATAAAGAAATTTAAAATCTAATGATATATGTTTTATTATAAAATATATAATATATTATAATTAACAATATATAAATATGTACTGAATATAACATATAATTTAATTATATTTATTATTATATATTCTTAGTATATTATATATTACATTTATATTTATATATATTATATATATGTCATTAGATCTTTAAATTCTTTATTCAGAACATAATTTTACCTTAAGGTGTGTTTTGCCTGATATTAATATAGCCAAATAAGCTCCCTTTTCACCAATAATAGCCTGATAGCACTGTTTTCTCTTTGCTTTAGACACTTCTGTATCATTATGTTTTAGTTATGTTTTAGGTATCTCTCTTATAAACAGAATATCTCTCTTAAAAAATCTCTCAAAAATCTCTCTTGTAAACAGAATATAACTAGATTCTTAAAGTCCAATTTAATAGACTTTGACAGTCTTTGTCTTTCAACTGGAAAGCTCATTTTATTTAAAGTTATTGAAAACACTCATGTATTAGGATTTATGTCTATATCTTACTTTGTAATTTTTATGTATGATGTTTTTGCTCACTTCTTTTCTTCCCACTATCACATTCTGTTAGATTCAGCAAGTTTTACTGATTTTCCTTTTCCCTTTTACCACTTTAAAATTTATGCTTTCTTTTTTCGATATGGCTGGGTTTCAAGGAGGATGGTCATTACCATAAATCACAATATCCCAAAGTATGTAAATTAGTTCAGGCCGCATCCCGAACAGCAGCCATATCGTGGGTGCCCTATCTACTAGGCACGGCATGTCAACACGAATCTCTGCGCAGAGGTGATACTAAGAGCAGGGCTGCTGATATTGTTGGGCTCAAGATTTTACTTTGTTTCTGATTTTTGGCAAAGTTTTGTTCTGATTCTCATTTGTGCACAACCAATAGATTATTCCCCCTGGGTGGCAACAATGAAAATCCGGTTTTAGGGTCTGAACATTTGACCAGCTCTGTCAGTGACAGATCTCAGAGTCGGCTTTTGTTCATCTCTTTTGTTTGTCTTTTCGTGCAGGGATGCGTTTCCATTCCATTGGAAGGAAGAAGAGCACCTTGAGATGTCAGCCACCATGATGCTGTGTTTCTGTTTCCCTTTGACCTGTTATAAAGCTGTAGAACTACAGACATAAGCTCTTGTGTCTCTCTTCCTTTGGATTATATTGCTGAACATGTTCATTTTTTGCCCTTTCCTGGAGGTATAAAAATGGCACGTGTATCTCCACGTACTCGTTTGACGTGTGCTCGTGAAATCTGCTTGTGTGCCCACATGATGGTGTATGAAGCAGCTCTCGGTGACTGACCTCTCAATTTTCTCTGTGAAAGATGAGTTAGATATTTTGGGTAAAGATGAGTGTTGAAGCTGTCCTGGGAACAGTGGTTTGAGAAAAATACTAAATGTGTATGCAATGTAATGGGATGTACTTTTATTTATCAATGGGAAAAGAAAGCTGCTATGTCTTAAAGCAAAGATTCTGTCCAGAAAGTTAAAGAAGATAGTGAAAGAAAAAGCTTCCATGGGCAGAGAAAGTTTACAAGGCTTTCAGAAAGTAAGCTTTATTTGTCTTAGTTTATAATAATGGCAAATAATGAGTGTGGAGAGAAGCAATGAAACCATTAAAATGTTGGCAAAGTAGGATCAGCTTTTACAAGTTTATTTATAAGATTTAAATAACTCATGAATTCTTTACTGCTAAAATATTACATTAACAGAGCTCTAGAATGTGGTTTTCTCTGTTAAAATGACAGATTGGTATAGGAGTGTTCAGTCTGCTCTTTAGAAGAGGTAGTAAAAGTTATTTGTTACCTTTTGTGTAACCTGCCCAGACGGCTGAGATTGATTCTTTCTTACCAGATAAACTTTCTGTGCTTATCCTACTTTGTTGCATGCTTGATAACTAAAACAGACAGAACCCAAAGGTTCTTTGCTTCCAAAAGAGCTAAGATTCCTTCCAATTGTCCTAACTTCGGCATATGTTCATTTAAAAATATTGTGCTGTCATTTCGATTAGCAAGAAACCAAGCCACAACCATTCATTGCTCTCAGGCTACCATGCTTCCACCTTAATCAAGTGACCAGCCTCCTCTGTTAATGCTTTGATTTTGTCTTCTCAAGGTCAGACACAAAATTCAGAAAAATAAAATGTAAATGAATAAATAAATTCAAGATTTTTTTTTAACTAATCTATTTTTTTCATCTTACACAAGAAACTGCTAGAAATAGGTTTTTTTTTTTTTCTGTCCGGTATGCTTCATATTTCATACAGCTCAATACTGTTGTAAAAGCTGCAAGGGAAGAGAAATTGTGAAATCAGAGAAGTTTCACCTTTATTGGTTGAATTGAATTCAGGCAAAAATTTTATTAATCTAAATATATTCAGAGATTGTATACTTTACAGGAAAGCTCTCACATGTCCATAATGTTACTACTATAAAGGGAAACTGATCAAATTCATAGGTAACATTTGTGTATTATATCCAGGGGATTTTATTCCCCTCCGTTCTGATATTTCTGGTTACTGATAGAATTAACCACAGCCATTCAGCCCTATCATCAACAGGCAATTCTGATTTCCTCTCCTGCTTGTCTGAAAGTTTTGACATGAGGTGGAGGCCACACGTCGATTATTCTACAAAGTAGAACAGTTTTCAAACCTTAGGAAAAGGATTGTACCAGGAGCTCTATTGATATCTCAAGGAATGGACTCATGGCTACTGGCTTTGGATTTAAGGTGGCACCACTTACACAAGCGTCAGAATGTATTAAGTGGATGAGTCAAGATTTCCAGGACTTGTTTTAGTTTAGCAGTAGATAAATTTGTGAAAGCAGACTGCTGAGCCAATACCCAGAGACTCGAGAATTTGTTACATGGTACTGAAGCAAGTATATTTGTTAGAATGTTGTTGGTATTACTGAGCCCTCAGAATTTAAGAAGTATTTTTACTAAATGTGTATATTCTTCATGGCAATGTAGTTGTATCAGAATAGAATCAAACATATCAATTGTGCAACCAAGACCATACCTGTGATATTATGCTTGAGAATAGATCTTATTAAATCAGGTATCAGAAGCCCATTATTAAGAAATAAGGGGTGTATTTTACATATGAAACTGATGTGCGCAAAGTCCTCCAAGGAAACCAGACTGATACCTCTTCTATGTCTTCCAGAGTCCCTGAAGAGTCATCTTACAGATGAGAAGGAAGATCTTCTCCTGGGAGGCCAAAACTTTGGCAGATATTGAGTAACTCAGAGAGGAATTCACTCACATGTGTAGGCTCTACCGCAAAATCTGGAGGAGATAAATTTTGGGGGATTGGTTTCCTAGCCTCAGACTAAGAGTTTAAGTTAAAAAATGTTCTATAGAGAAGATTGTCTGAGAAACAAGCACTCTCATACATTTCTGGTAGAAATGCAAATTGATACAACCCTTTTGGAGGGGAATTTGGCAATATCTAACAAAGTTACACGTGCACTTGCCTTTTGATGCACTTACCTCAATAATCCTACTTCTAGGAATTTGTCCTGAAGAATATACCTCCAACAATGGGAAAACATATATGTACAAGTTTATTCACTGAAGCATTGTTTATAAATGCAAAATGCTTGAAACAGTCTAAATGCCTGCAAAGGAGAGTTGTTGAATAAACAATGGGACCTTCACACAAAGGAGTACTATGCAGCTGTAAAGAAGAATGAGGGAGACTTCTATGCACCACACACATATTTTTAAAGGGATATATTTTTAGGGAGAAATTAGAGTGTGAAAGAGATTCTATAGTACACTGCCTTATATGTGAGAGAGAAGGGGAAACAAGAAAGTATACATGAATCTATGCAATTGTGAAAAAGAAACAGAACGGATAAAGCAGAAACTAATGGGGTTGGTTACTTACAAGCAAAGGCTATGAAAAGAGTAAATGAATGGGGGAATGGGACCAGGGTTGAAGGAATGAAGGAGGAGGGTCACTTCTCTGAGTAAACCCTCCAAGAATTTAATATGGTGTTTTGTATAGTTCTGATTTTTAGAAGCGTGTTGATATTTCACATTCGTGAAAAAGGAATTAATTAATTAGAATTAACCAGTACAGAGGAAAATCCAAAATGGAATACAAATACTAACAAATCACCCTAACTTTGTTACTAATGAATTATATAACTGCACCAGAGGGAGTGGGGAAGAAAAGAATTCACCTAAGTAACTTTGGAAAACAGTATTTTTTTCCTATATTCTCTAAAGCTAAAGACAAAAAAAAAAAAAAAAAAATGAACTGCAACATACCGTACTCAGGTTACTACTCTGTATTTCATAGTGTTATTAGTTAGAAATTCTGAAACTGCTTTATGTGTGTTCTAGGAATAAGTAAAAAGAAAATACATTGTGGATAATGATAGCCAAGTTTCTCATTTTCAGAGAAAGAAATTAAAATAAAGGAAAGGGGAAAGCTAGAGTAAACCATATGGTGTGGTTGGAATAAACCCTTACTAGACCTCTCCAAAGAAGATATGCAGATGACACGTAAGCGGATGAAAAGAGGCTCCACATCCTGTGCCATCAAGGAAACGCAAGTCAATAAGATACCTCTACAAAGCAATTAGAACGGCCAAAATCTGGAGCACTGACAACACCAGATGCTGGTAAGGAGGTGGAACGACAGGGACTCTCATTCGTTGCTGGTGGGAATACAAAACAGTCCAGCCATTTTGGAAGACAGTTTGTCAGTTTCTCACAAAACTAAACATACACTTACCATGCAAACCAGCAATCACGCTCCTTAGTATTTACCTAAATGAGTTGAACACTTGTGTCTATACAAAAACCTGAACAGAAAAGTTTGTAGCAGCTTCAATGTCCTTTAGTAGGTGACTGGACAAATAAATTGTGGTACATCTAGACAATGTAATATTATTCATCCCTAAAAAGAAATGGGCTATCAAGCCATGAGAAGACATGGAGGAACCTAAAACGCATATTACTGCAGTTAGTGAAAGAAGCCAAGCTGAAAAGTCTACATCCTGTATGATTCTAACTGTACGACATTCTGAAAAAGGTGAAATTGTGCAGACAGTTAAAAGATCAGTAGCTGCCAGAGGTTGGGGTCAGGGAAGGAGGGATGAATAGGTAGAACACAGAGGATTTTTAGGGCAGTGAAATAAATACTGTCTATGATACTATAACGGTGGATATATGTCATCACAATTTGTCCAAACCCGTAGAATGTACAGCACTGAGTGAATCCTAGTGTAAACTAGACTTTGGGCAATTACAATGTGTCAATGTACGTTCATCAGCTGTAACAAATGTCCCACTTTGGTGGGGATATTAATAATGGGGGAGGCTATGCATGTGTCGGGGCAGGGAATATATGGGAAATCTCTGTACCTTCTTCTTAATTTTGCTGTGAACCTAAAACTCCTCTAAAAAAAGTCTTTAATAAAAAAATAAATAAATAACAATGAAAAAATTTAAAAAGCGATAATGGATTATACCCCATAAATAAAACAAATATTCGTACATCCGTACTGATGTAATGGTTGAATAAATAAATGGAGAGGAAGGGAAAGCTCTTCCTTACAGTAAAATCCCAATTAATAAATGTATAAGGAAGGACAGAAATAGAAAATCACCTTTGGACAAATGCCACAGTCATTGTTTTAGGCAAGATTCATAATAGATTTGAAAATTAGTTGGTGAAAGTATGAGAAACAGAATATTTACATAATCTCAATATTTCCTGCCAGTGGAGATAATGGAAACCACCTTAACCAAATAGTCACTAATAATGAGACGTATGGCCCTGTGTCCCCTGATATGACACACTGAGAAGGGCACAACATGAATTCTGTGATATTCTTGCCAAAAACGCATACTAGACTTCAATCAGGAAGGAACATCAGTTAGGCCCACATCAAGAGGTACTGCGTGAAACACTGGCCAGTCACCTTCAAGAGTGTCAAGGTCACGAGAGACAAGGAAGGATTGAGGGACTGTCCCAGGTTGGAGGAGATAAGGAGACATGATCACAAAAATGCAACGTGTGATCCTGGATTGGCTCTTGGTCCCAAAAAAGGACATTAGTGAGGTAATTGCCAAAATTAGAATAAAATCTGTAGATTAGTTAATATTATTGTATTAATGTCAATTTCCTGGTTTTGATCATTGTGCTGTGGTTATATAAGATGTTAATATTTGGGGAAATTAGATGGAGATGTCAAGGATGGTGATATGAAGATATTGAGCAGTTCAGTCTGAAAATGATTGGGTAAACCAAGGCAGCAACAGTGCAGATAGAAAGCAGGAAGTGTAGATTCAAGAAATATAGCTAGAATGGTCATGATTGATAGTTGAGCAGTGTGAGATATGCAGGCATGGGAATGGCGTGTTATTTCAGGGTTACTGTGAGAGAAAAGATGAACTCACTATTGGAGCTATTAAATTTGAAATGCCTGTGGGACATGTGGAAATATCAAATTGACAGATCTATGCAGGGTGTCAATAAACGCAGGTTTGTCTCGGACCGTCTCAGTGTATGACTATGGTCCTGGCATAATTATTCATAGTACTGCTTTCATACTCAGAAGTGTCATGAGAAATTATATAGTAATTCTTGTATAGCTCTGAAACATGGGAGATGGGGCTGTGCTGGTGCAATCTATATTGGGGTCTGTTAAATAGAAATGATGGCTAAAGCAATGTATTTGGGTGAAATTGTCAGAATGAAGAGAAGAGCGTGTGTATAGTGTGTGTATATATACACATGTATGCTTGTCTATCCACCCTTTAAAAACTATTTCTAAAAATAAAAAGGAGTGTCTTATTATATCATGGAAATTAGTTTATATTGATATGTCTTTCCTGTAACTATCCTTTCTATTATAGAAAAAATATTAATTGACTGTAGAATATAACTCTATGTATAATGTTCAAGAAACTAGTCGTTAGTCATATTATTATTTTTTAAATTAAAGATATTCATTAGGAGTGTTCCAAAAATTGGAAATTGGCAAGATGAAGAAGATACACCAATGGAAACTGAAACAGAGCATCCATGGAAAAAGGGAGAAAACCTGAGAGAGTCTGTTGTCCTGGATGCCAAGTGAAGAAGTTGACTCCAAAAGGAAGTGATATCAAACCTGAAGTGAGTTTGCTCACCCGTTGCACAGCAAGCCAATCTCTGACACCAGGGGTAGTGGAAGAATGTAGGAATTTTATTATTGCACAGCACTGAGCAAGGAGAGAGGGCAGCTCACACTGAAATCCCAAACTCCCCGAAAAGCTAAAAGGAAGGGTTTTTATTTGGGGTTTTAGGTAGGGGAGGGGGAGCACATGGCCTTGCTGGTCGGAGCTTTCCCACCAGCCTGTCTTTGGCCTTGAGACTACTTGCAGAGAGGAGGGAGCCCATGACCTTGCTGGTCAGCAGCTTTCCCACCAGCCTGTATCTCTTTGCGGCAAGGAGATAGCAAATCCAGGTGCTTGTCCTTGGCGGTGTCTGTCTCCATGGATGAAGTGGATTCTGTAGCCAGGAAGCCAGGGAGTAAGCAGGGAATGAGTGTTTTGGTTTTAACCTCATACATGCTGGGTTTAATGTAGGGAAACTGATATCAGGCTTGGTATCAGAAGGAGCAGTCAAATGCATCAAGAGCTTCCGAGAAATCAAGTTAAATGAGGACTGAGAATTGACTATTGGATTTGGCAATATGGAAATCTTTGACAATGTTAGATTCAGTGGAGGAGTGGGTCAATCTTATCGGAGCTGCATCAGAAGAGAATGGAGTTGAGAAAATGGGGACAGTGAGTATAGAAAACTTGTATAAGGAGTATCGTTATAGGGGAGGCAGACAATTCCAATGTCAGCTAAATAGGGGATGTAGAGTTAAGGAGGGCTTCTATCTAAATCTGGGAGATAACACAGGAAATCTGTATGCTGATGGGAATGATATAGGGGAAAATTGGTGATGCAGAAGAGAGCAAAATTTTTTTGTAGGAGCAAAATCCTTGAACGATGAGATATGAGGTGATAAGATGCACAAATTGAAAGGTTGAACTCTGTGAAGACTGGGAGAAATAGCAGACTATTTCGGTTTAGGTACAGGCAGGTTTGTAAATTTAGTGGTGAAACATAAGGTGGTTTTCTTCTATTTTCCTGGTGAATTAAGAAATAGGGCCAGGGGCTGACCCCATGGTTGAGTGGTTAAGTTCCCATGCTCCACTTTGGCGGCCCACAGTTAGTGGGTTTGGATCCTGGGTGTGGATCTAGCACCACTCATCAGGCCATGCTGTGGTGGCATCCCACATAGAAGAGCTAGAATGACCCACAACTAGAATATACAACTGTGTCCTGGGGCTTTAGGGAGAAAAAAAAAGGAGGAAGATTGGCAACAGATGTTAGCTCAGGGCCAATCTTCCTCAACAAAAAAGCACACACACAAAAAAAGAAAGTCAACGGATGAGAGTGAGAATGGCGGATAGGATTTTGGATGTTTGGAGAGACAGAAGATATAATCTGGGGAAGTGAGGGACGATTGACAAAGGAGATGTGATTGGACTGCTTGGATTTATTGAGTGTTCCTTTGAAATTTGTTGTCATAAATTTAATCTTATTGCCTTATAACTGTAAATTATGCTTTGTGAATGCAGCTGTGATTGTGTAATTTTTTCAAGCCTCATTGATCTGGTCTGTTACAGATGTGGAATATATACAGTGACAGGTTTAACTAAGGTTAAATTTGTGCCAGGCAACTAGGACTTAGGGACAGACGGGTGAGATTGTCAAGGTTATATGAGAGAGATGAACTATGATATGGGATCATCATTAGGGCAAGGGAGCAGGAAATGAACTGTCTTTTGTGGTACTTGAACTTTATGTCAGAAACTTTACATGTTTGGGCAAAAGTTTTGGCGGGGATGATCAAAACCCAATGCTCAAGCCAGAAGCCCTAGAATAGTGTTACGGGCTGTGAGCAGGAAGGTAGAAAAGGTGAGATAAAAGATCAGGGATGGAAGAGAGAGAATAGAGCAGGCAGACTACATCGACCCTGAGGAAGCAGTGGACTTCAGGCAGCCAGCAGTCAGCTAGGCTGGAGTTGGGGGCGATAACTGGACTAGAATAACTCACCATGCGATGTATTGTGCTAATTGAGACAGCTGCCAAAAGCTATCTTTCTGAGGGGTGCCCCAGGGAGTCCCTGAGAAACTCAGATGGTCCATCTTAGCCCTAAAGAGGCCAATATCAAGAGCCCAATCCCAGTGAAGAAGCAGCTTGAACTCAGTTCTCTCATCTGGCTCACAGGGCAGCCTTAAGCTTACATGGTAGATCAAGGACCTTACCACAGACTTAATGGGAGCTGAATTTACAAAATATCTGGGGTGGCCACAGTGTGTCACCAAAGCTGGGACAAGAGTTCTCATAGCTGGACATGTGACTGGGTTGCTGACATGCTGTTCCTTTCTGACACAAAATATGAGTGCCAAAAAAAGCAGTTCTTTTTCCTATCATTTTCCCATGAGGATCCATTATTATACTTTATCTTTTCATCCACCCTGTTAATTGGCAGAATGAATATTTTTGTAAAGGATAATTTTCTTTTCTTGGTAATAGGAAACTCTTTTCATGTTGTCTAAGTAGAGGAAGTATCTCTTATCAAGAGTTTATATATGCTGCACTACACTAAATTCCATAATACATGATCTCATTTACTCATCTCAGTATTCCTCTGAAGTAGGTGTTGTCATGATTCTATTTTTTTTAAACATGAAGTAATTGAAGCCCAGAAAGTATAACTGACCTGTGCAGAGTCACATGGCCCGTAAACGTAGGAGCCAGTACTCAAACGCAGAACTTCTTCCAAATCCTTGCTCTTAAGCTGTATTGTATGCAGAGACAAGAATATGCTGTGGACAGACAGCAAGAGGGGACTGATATAAACCATGCCAGATGGGAGAATATTCTAGCTTCCACCTTCGCGCTCGCATGTTTATCCAAATCCGTTATACTTAAACAGAAAATCCCCCGTTACAGATTTGTGGGGGTCTTCTGGGGATTCTTTTACCAGCAGAAAGATTTTTCAACAATGGTGGAGATTATTTTTTAAAAATAAAAAGGAGGAGAAAAGTGAGAAGTGGAAATATTTTCCCTTCCATGTCCAGGCAGATGCATCTCTCTTGAATCCTGGTGAAAGATACAGACACTCAGCAAGTGAAACTGGTGCTCTTCCCACCATCTGCTCTCCCTGGGTGAGGACCATCTCTGCATCACGTGCTTCACTTGATTGGCATTGTTCCAGAGCGAATAAATTACTTGACTACAGAAAGAGCAGTTACACTTGAGCTTCAACTAAACAACAACAACAACAATAGAAATGATAAAAGTAACAATACGAACAACTGTGCATTTGTTTACCTGCTGGATTATTCGGAAATATGAGGGCCACAGACACGGACGTGTCTGTTGTCTAATACCTTGTCTCCTATGGGACATAAAGATCAAAAACTTTTTCCTGAAAAACGCATGTGAAATTTACATACAATGAAATTCATAGAGCCCACAGTTCTTTGATTGCCCATTTGATCAGGGACTAATTGCCATATTAAAATCACCCTCTGTCAGTTACTACTTTTTTTTTAATGTGTTGGTTTCTTGTTTAGACAAACATATATATTTTATTTCCCCTGAATATGGAATTCTAATACCTCAGTATTGAACCTCGACTCAAATCTTACCCTTTTTTATAAATGAGGGGACAGTTTTGTAAAAATATTATTTTTAATTATCTAATACTTTCCTTTCTCTTCTTTCGCCTCTAACAGAAATAACTCAATCCTTACGGAAAGATATTTGATAATATAGATTTTATAGAAAATCAAGATATGTCACCTCTATTGCATAATTCATTTTAGTGTTTCTATCCATCAAAATACAGCCTTTATATGAGATTTCTCTAATAATTTTCTTGCTCCTTGAGAATAAACATACATAAATGAAGTAATTGCCTTACAGCATCTCACTGAGCTGACTTGTTTGTATTTAGAGATTCATACAATGATTTGTCCCCAAAGAGCAATTGAAGTAATTTTTAAAGATAGAAAACATAAAAATTTTAATGTGGAGACTAGAAGGAAGGTTTTAATTAAGGAGTAGGCTGATAAATTTCTTGCTGATGAAAACTCTGACCATTAAATTTCTCTGTGAGGATGATGAGAGAAAAGATAAGAGGGTGCTTGTATAAATTCATCATTATTATTACTCAAGGCAATGAGCTGTTAAGCAGGAGCTTAATTATGACCTCCATTCGTCATCTTGATACTTAATGACGCACCGGATGCGCTGTTCCTGCTCTGTCAATTGCCTGCTCTGTCAGTTGACTGAGATTCCATGCCAAACGAGTGGCTGTCTTCCACCTCCAGAGGAGAGAGATGGTTTACGCACGTCCAGCCTCCAGGCAAACACCAACTCACTTTCCTCTCAAAATGTGGTCTTTCCTGGGACAGGTTCCACCAGAAATTAGGCTAGAAATTTGCTTGCTTCCTCACCACATCTTAGGTCAGAAGAAACAGGAAAAAAATCGCTCATCTCTGACTGTTCTCATCATAAATGATTGAGATCTGTCAGACGACGGAATAATTTTAAAAGGGAGACGGTGGTTTTGGACACGGAGGCTTTCCAGACGCTTCATTAACTCCAGGAGCTGATGAAATGACGTGTCCTGCACAGACGCAGCAAAGGAGCACAGCTAGTTCAGGTGCTGCTGGGCAACCAGCAATTCCGTTAAAGTCTTGCATTTTGTTCTCAGAAGAGATGAGCTCAAGTTGAATAAAGGATTGTACTTTTTAAGAAAAACAGACGAGAGGTTATAAAAAGGAATATTTTAGATTCTTATAAATGGATAAATTATTATCATTTTTTACTTCTAAACTATCTTTCACTAATGAAGAATACGATTCTCCAGTTTTCAAAGTGTAAAAATTAATATTAAATTCCAAATTTTCTTACCGATTGAATCACCCTTCAGCTATTTCAGGTGTTCGCAATTGTTTTGTTTTTGGTTTTCATGGGAAAAGTTATACCATAGTTTAGGTAAAGCAACAGCCTTACAATTTGTTGTGTTTTTTTGGCTGGGTAAAGTATTCTTTTCATCTGTAACTCCAAAACTCAAGTGTTAGTCTTCGGTGTTGTACTGACAAATATGGCCGAGGTAACACATAGAATTATTTTTGCCTTTCAGAGTAAAAGATCTTTGTTCTTCAGCAGTTATACACGTACTCACACACAAATATCCACCACTTGAAGACTGAGCTTCTGTCAGGCCCCTTTGCCATCTGTCCGTGAAAGAAATCAGTAATTTGATAGACTTTGTGATACAGACTGACCATCTGCAATCTTGGGAACAGTATTTAAGCTCTGAGAACCCAGTAGGAAATCTGTTCAAATATGTTTTCTCAGGTCATCCAGTGCCTTATGTTTTCAATGATTTTAAGACTAAATAAAAGGGAAACCTTGAGTATGTTGGGAGAAATTTCCTTTTCAAGCAGAGAATGATCCAGTAAGCACTTCCGAAGATTATATCCAGTTGTATACAATTTGACCTTGTGCATTTCTGAAAAAATAAGAGATTAGTTGAAGATATCAGTCATCAAACGGGGTTTGTGAACAGTTATGACTTTGACATATTCATGGAATTAATATCTCTTTGGATGTAATATTAGATAATTTTTGTTCTTTAAAATTAACGTGTTAACAGAGTCACTTTCAATAAATTTAATCCCCAAACTGAAATAGGGCTGCCAATGCTGCATTATTAAATGGAGCATTTATAATATATGTAGCTAACATGAGCAGACTGTGCTAGACAAAAAAATTACAAGATAACTTCATGAAGAGTTCCACAGCAAAAGTCATTTCTACAAATTACAGACAGAACTATCAGTTTCCATTTATAAATGTACAGAGAGAATATTTAGTTGGGTTAAGTTGCAAAAGACACACACACACAAAGTCTACCCATTAAATACTTAATTAATTATACAATAACTTTAAAATGGTGTTTAGTCCTTAATTTATCCTGATTTCCAAGTTTGCTTTCTTCACCGAATAGTTTATCGTTACTCTAGGTTCGGGGTACACGTTTTTTCCCAGCAAAAGCAATTTTTTAACCTTCAAAAGACGATTTCATTCTACTCCTAACATTTTCCCCTATTTCTTCAGAAGCATTTAGATCTCTATTGAGTTTGGTTTAAAAAGATAAATTCTAACAAATTTTTCCCAAGATGTAATTAAGGCAAGTCTATTAACTTCCGGTTTTAGTTATACGTTTGTTTGTGTGTGTACCTTTTCCAGTTTATCCTCTAAATTAGCAGAACTGAAAATTTTTTATTATCCTTCTATTAAAGATGAGGAGGAGACAAGAAAGAGAGAAAGAAAGAGACAGAGAGAGGACTTTATCTTTAGTTTCCATTATCCAGTATTTAAACTTTGAGCACATTATTATAAATGTTCTTCCTAGGGAAAAACAAAAGCTTTCGTTTATGAGGACGTAATGCGAACAAGTTGTTAGACAAGAGAAATCGAGGGCAGACGGAGGAGAGCTGAAGGAACGAAAAACTTTAAAAAACGTGCCTTGCTTCTTAGATTTGGCGGGTTTTTCGTTTATTTTTGAAAGCTGAACCACCACCACCACCACCGACAACAACAACAAAAATACTGTCAGCTTCCGGGGAGACAAAGAACGTGGGCTGTTCTTTCAAAGCGTATTCGGAAACCTCACCACCGAGCCTCAAAAACAGAACTGGAGGTCAAACACCGACGGAAATAAAAGCATCACCTTCTTTCCAATCCAGCGGATGTTAGTTACCGAAGCAAAGTTGATTATTGTCTCTTCAGTATTCGTTCTTTGATTAAGGGGAAGCTTTCATGCTGATGGCATTCTTTTTTGTTCGGTTTCATTTTTCTTAGGAAAAAAACAACAGATGCTATGATATAATGACATTTCAATACAATCATTTGTAAATGTAAGGCAGACTATGAACAGGCAATAAAAATAGTTTTTTGAAAGAGACAGTGATTTCTTTGTAATACAATTCAAATGTTCATTTGAAGTTAATACTTCAATTGATCTTTCTTTTTATTTGATATTATCAAACTTCTTTAAATTTTTCTCTACATTTTGTCACTAATTTCAGAGTTTTTTTTCTCATTTATTTCTCATGTACCTGGTTAATATTAAACAAGAATTTTCCCTTAAACATTTCAATGGAATTTAGACCAAGTTGAAAAATTTGTCAAAAAAATCGACTTATTCAAATTCCTTGAATAGATATTCTTCATTATTCCTGAAAAATTGCTTTCAAAGTACATTTTCAATGATTGTAACAGTGCAATTTAGTGGAATCAGCAATTCACAAGTTTTTAAATTTAACTCTTCATTTGTTGCAATCTAACTTTGTGATTTAGTTTCAGGTTTTTTCTTTTCTTTTTTTTTGTTCTTTTGAGGAAGATTAGCCCTGAGCCAACATCTGCCACCGCTCGTCCTCTTTTTTTGCTGAGGAAGACTGACCCTGAGCTAACATTTGTGCCCATCTTCCTCTATTTTCTACGTGGAACGCCTGCCACAGCATGGCTTGACAAGCGGTGCATAGGTCAGTGCCTGGGATCTGAACCGGCCAACCCTGGGCCGCAGAAGTGGAAACGTGCAAACTTAACAGCTGTACCACCAGGCCGGCCCCTGAAACTACTTTTTTTTTTTTTTTTAAAGATGGGCACCTGAGCTAACAACTTTTGCTAATCTGTTTTTTTTCTGCTTTTTCTCCACAAATTCCCCCAGTACATAGTTGTATATTTTAGTTGTGGGTCCTTCTAGTTGTGGCACCAAATTTTTACATGTTTGCTTTAGTGGAATAAAAATTGAGTGTGTGTACATATATTCCATTCCATACGTCATAGTAATTAATCCCCATCAACAGTGAGAATTAGTTTTCTCATATAGGGAGCCTATGAAAAGCTTTCTTTCTGGAATAAAATAAGATGTTCCACTTCGGTAACTTTGCTTTACATTTGGAAATGTTTCACCTTCATTACATCCCTAAGTGCAGATTGACTGATGATTACACAGATCTTTCCAGCTATGTTAAAGGCCAGTTCAGAAAGTCTAATTATTCATTCTAGATTAGACAATTGGGTCTTTTCTCAAAACTAGTAAATTGGCTTTCTCAAGGAGACATCAGACCTGAGTATCCTGAGGGAAAAACTAACATTTCTTAACTATTTCACCATGGCAAGAATCTCCTGTATGAGTTGCAATTGACAAGTTAGTTGAATTTCAACTTTTTTTTGCCTCTTGTTATTTTTATCTCTTCTTCTTTTCAAATTTGAAGGACTTTTGTATATCTTTCTTGGCTCAAAAACTCACTGATGCATTGCCCAGCCATGTGTTTTCCTCCTGTATTCTGAAAACGTTGATATTTAAAAGAAATTTCACACAAACATGCAATTATCTCCAGATATATCACATTGATATCCTGTTCTTTGCGTGACAAATAAAAATACCATATCCCAGAACCCGTGAATAAGTAAAAGCTATGAAGTCACATCTAAAAAACGTATGTAGTCAAATTGGTGTCTTATTGCCACCCAGTGAAATTCCGTACGTGCTGTATTCCGCCTCTTCTGCAGTTTTAAAATTTGCAGTCATTACTAATCTATGTAAAATCTCTACACTCTTAGGAAAGTGTACATATTTGTTCATATAGTTCTTATAAGTAGGCATTTACCCAGGCATTAAAAGTAATATAAACCTAACACAGGATGTAGTCATTTACCACAGCAATTGGGACTCTTTGGACGATGTGTAAACATATCAGCATAATTCTTGATGGTGTGAAGCAGCGTATGAGCCAGTGTCTATTGAGGGCAAGTGCTTGTGAATTATTAAAGAACAATTAATTTGAGGTCAGGGAAGTCTTTATGAAATTTCTGGGAGAGGAAAATCCAAGTGGCTACCTAGTGTGTGGATATGTAGAGAGCAAGGGGAGTTGAGAATTATCGTTAGAAAAAGGAGTGTGTCTTGTCCAGGGAACAGGGAAGTGTCTGACCTAGCTAGAGAAAAGGATCTACACTGAGAAACAGTGAAGATAAAATTGATTACTAGAGCAGGTTGCATTGTGGAGGGTCTTAAAAAGGACATTTTCCTGAATAAAAAATCCGAAGATCCCTTAAAACCCATTGAAGCTGTTTGAGCAGGTGAGTGAAATGATAAAATCTGTGACTTAAGAAGATAAATTTAGAGCAGTGTTTATTAGTGTATGTTCCCAGGATCATTAGCTAATAGAGTTCCTCCGAAAAGGTCTCCCAGGTCAAATAAATATGGAAAATAATGGGTTCCTTTACTCTGGGTCTTCTCTAAGACTTAAGATGTTAGTGGGCATTTTGACTTTCAAAAGGAAAATACAGCATTTCCCAGACCTGTTTGACCAGGGAATCCTTTGTAGGAAAACAATGCATGGATCAAAGTATTTCATATGTATTCATATCAATCTCAGTCTGCAAAGTGATGTATGTAAGAAATGTACTATTTTATATTTTTAAGTAACTCATTTGATCTCTAGTTTGATCCTCTCTCCCCAGATTGGTAGAAATTCAGGATCTCTCTACTTTCCCCAAGACTGTGTCCATGTTCTGGAGTCTTCTAGTGCCAAGGAGTTAGGAGGTTGTGGCCTTCTCTGGTCCTCTTTGTCATCTATGGACGCTGAAATCTGCTGAGATGTCCTAATCACTATCTGGTCCGGGGAAATTGGTCTGTACAACTGTGGCTGAGACATGTCTCATTCAAATCCAGTGGCTCTCTTTGTTACTTCCATACCATAATTTCACTGATCTCTTCTGTGTTGAGGTATGAGAAACTCTGCATGGATGTACAGGGCCCCATCTTTCTTAGACATGTCATTTAGCTATTCTAGGAGTGCTTCCTGCTTCCTTTTGATTTCTCTTCAGCAAACAGGGCACATATCCCATACACCTATTAATTTTGTGCTTTTCCCACGAGATTTCTACTTAAATCTTTATGCCATGAATTGCCTTTGTTTCCTAGGAAACTAAGTGTTTAAAACTCATAGTCAACAAAGAGCTCTCTTCTCCTCATATTCAGCTCTAACTTCTCTTCCCTGAGGAAATGATCTTAACTTTCTCTTAAAATGTCTTAAGACAGGGAGAAGGGTAGAGGCAAGG